CTGTATAGCTTATACAAATACAGTAGAGGCAGGAATATCATTTGAAGTTACAGGTCACTTCAATATAGTTATAGTTATTACAAACATCACCACTTCAGTTTATGTCGAAGCTCTTGCACAAATGCTTTATCAAATTTATGATTATCCTTGCTATATTGTTTCTATATTCTATTAGAAAATTTCTAACGAACTTTTTTGCCTGCCAGGTCATGAAAATATTCAGGCAGAACTTGTAAGTGCTCAGCCTAATAACTTATCTACAGCAATAAAAGGTCATTGTGAATAGAATAGTAATGTCATTTCTTATAAAATTGATGAATCTCCTGCTGTAATAACATTCATTGAAGTTGAGCATCAGAAACGCCTTTCTGTGAGATACTTTATTGAGAAGCTTTGTAGTCTTATAGCCAGTACTGGCATTTCTTTTCAGCTAATAAAATGGATGAGAGCCAAGGAGTTATAGAAAATCGTAAAAAAGTCTGCAATAAGATTAGGGTTGAAATATTAGTTATTAAAGAAACAGATTTTATTGCAGTTGTTATTTTTCAGAATCTTGATCCTAAAGAAGCTGAAAATCTTAAGTTTGACTAAAAGTATTTTATCCCAGATACTATAGTATTTAAGCATTTCTATATATGAAATATTTATGATAAAGATATGGACAATAAGATTTGGGATAATCTTTGCAATAAAAAGTTTGTAAAAAAATTCAGTCCACCTGAACCTCAGAAACATTTCTTGTAGTTATCTTACTTTTGAAAGTAAGGCTATGATGAGGAAAGTGTAATAAAAAGGTTAGAGGTCAAAGATATTGCGTAATAAGAAGATATCCATTATAAAGCTGGAAAGAATGTTGAAAAATCAGTAGTAGAAGACTTGCACAAATCATATTCAGCTAATTATTGGATGGTTATAAAGAAACTTTTTCAAATACTAGACTTTACTGGTATAGATAATAAGTATATTCTTTTCAGTAATATAGTATTAGAAACATTTACATGAATTTGCAAGAGGTTTATAGAAATCTTAGATCAATCAATATTACTCTTCAGATTCAAGTCTCGTGTTAAGATAACATCAGATCTTAATTCAGCTATAAGGGCAATTAATATAATTGCTAAAAATTGGTGTGGCTATACTGTAAAGATAAATAAAAAAAAATAGGGCCTAAAGAAAAACAGGTTTGGGAATATTCATATCAAATTAATCGGCAATCATATGATGGTCTTGGTTTTGGAGATAAAGATATACCAAAGCTTCCACTATATAGACTGAAAACAGATAATGATGTTCAGGAACTCTTTGATTCTATAGGATAGAAAAAATAATACTTTGGTCAGATTATTATTCAGCTAGATGTCTCGATTATATCTGATTCCATTTTATTTTTTTTTACTTTTGCGTCAGGTATGGTCATAAATTCCACTATGTGTGCTACAGATTTCAGTATCAGAATAGGTTCCCTTCTTACAGACAGGGCATATTGTTCTAAAAAGGACATTAAAATATCTAGAACACCTTAATTCACGCTAGCATCCTTTCTCACAAATCAAACCATCTCTCTTTATGTATTGACAGATTAGACAATTCATATTAGGTAATTTTGATACTAATAATCTCAAAACTTCATCTTTACTTTTATTATAGATATTCAAAAATGTGTTATGTTAGTCTAAAACATAAGCTATATCATCTTTATTTTTTTTTGTGCTTCTCTAGCCAGTTTTTCTTATAAACAGGTTTGGCATAATCCGTACAAAAGTCAGTTTGGGAATATGTCAGCTTATTACAGAATATGCACTTTTTTTTTGGTAGTGACTTATAATGTCTGACATATCCGGCCTTGCGTAAGCATCTTTTCCTACAGATAGACTCATCTTTTTTGATATATTGATAAAACCAAGATGGTAAATTAGAAGGGATCTCTTTAGAGTCCTCTGAATCAGCTGTACTTCCACTAAGGATCATAGCACTTCTTTTTGGGAAAGTTATTAAGATTAATATACGTCAAACTTTCCTTCATTTTTTATTATAGATAGATCTGATAAATATTTGAAAATATAACACATGTCTTCTGAAGAAATAGGAATTATTTTTTATTTTAAAGATTTGATTTTCTTAATGTACATATACTAAAAAAATTCTACTAATCTACTTATCATTGACATGGTTACCAAAACGGCTATCCCAAAGACCTGAAACTTAAAGCTAATAACTTTGTATTGGTCTTAAAGCAGTTCCTAAAAAAGCATAATTTGTCGGTTGACTTCACCCCAGAATAATTAAGCAAACATGCTCCTGAACTTGATACTTTGCTTTCTGATTAGATAGCTCGCAAGTATGTTAAAATTGCTTTTGCCAGAGGTACTAATAACAGATGCTCATTTAGTAAAGAGAAGATAGATGTTTTCATGCTGGATAAAAGAAAGAAAACCTCACTATAGAGGGAAGGGCAAAATACTGTACTAAGGCTGGTGATTTTGTAAACATTATCACTAATCATTAGGCATTGGGTCTGAAAAATAAAGATGAAAATGAAATCGTTACCAGTGTCTCACATCAGTCAACATTCTGTGTGAAGTTAGCAGAAGGTGGTGTAGATCCTGCAATTATTGAAAAATTTGTCAAAGATAAGGACCTTATTCAAGATTCTAATAAAATTCAGAAAGAATGAACTAAAAAGTGAATGGCTAATCCAGATAGAATTCTCATACATTTCTTCTTAGCAAATGTGAGTAAAAGGCTTTAAAATATTAATACTTCTAAAATTTCTACTAAAGAGAATCTTGCGGATGTGATAGTGATGTTGAGTATAAGACCAGAAGAAGTAAGATCTCTTCAAATTAATCATTATGAACTGGATCTTTCAAACATTTCAGTATGGTATAAAGAAGGCTATTCTTGGTATTGCATAGGCTATCTAAAGAGTAGAGAAGAAAAGAAGGAAAATCCTGATTTCTTTCCATAGAGAAGAATCTAGAACGTACTAGGGAATTACTTACCTGGATCCAAGATGCAATTAAGGCTAAAAAGTTATCTGATCCTGTCTTTACTGAAAGTGAAATACGTAATGCTTAGCCATTTAATCAATTCTTAAAACAAGAACCTTATAGAACTATACCTAAAAAATTAAGAGATTATAGAAGTAAACATGCTTCCAGAATTTATAGTGGTAAGAATCTAACTCCCCAGCATCTTAAACTACTTTCGAGAATTGCAATAAGATAAGAATCAGACCGTCTTGATGCAGGCGATAATTACGCTATAAGTGATACAGAATCAGAGGAGTCCAGCCCTGAATCTGATTCTGAAAATACATTAAATTTAGTACATTAGATTTTATCGTCTCAGCCTAAAAATGATGATTATAACCCTTTCAAGGGACAGATAGCAGAAATTGATTCAATGTTAGCTGGTTTCTAAAATTATGTAATTAATATTTATTCGAGTCCCTGCCAAAATGAAGCAGGATTTTTTTAGTCTGATCCAACTAGTCCAGAGCGGTGCTCACTATTTACTCGAAAAGATTTTTTGCTGAACCACAGATTGTATGACAAAAAATAAGTAGATCATCAATCAGGTCTTGTATGATAAAAAAATAGATTAGCTAAATATAGGTGCTAGCTGAATTTTTTCACACAAATAACAATTAAAATAACGGTAGTCTCTCCAGAAAAATAAAATATTTTTACTCTCCTCTGGACTGCACCTTCGGTAGAAAATAGTCCAGGCATGTTAATACAGAAATTCATTAATGGTAAGGAATCATCAGAAGTTTTGAAGATATGCTCTTGCATTTTTATTGGCTTCTTCTAATCTATTTATTTCCTGATCAGAATGACCGTCAATACTAAGATGATCTTGAATCACGCTTATATCCTCTTCCAAATATAAAAGCAAATGATATAATGTCTCAAGTGACATTTTCCTAAATGTTACTTCATCAAAATCTTGCATATTTTCATATAATGTAGTAAAAATGTGATGGCTGACCACATTGAGATCTTCCTATATATCTATTAATTCCTTCACAAAATCAAATAACAGCCCAAATGAATCTTCAAGTGTTTTTTCTTTTTTGCTTTGATTTAATACTGTTTGATATATATTCTCAATAGGTTCCTTCTTCCGGTCTGGAAGTATACTAAGCTTTTTCTAAAAAGCTATTATATCTTTCTTCTTATACAAAAGCACTTCATATAATTGAGCTTTGCTTTTATCAGAACTAATATTAGTATTACTTGTCATGATTGCATTTATCTCTGATTAGCATATATTCAATTTTGTGTCTGAAATATTGATCATCAACCCGGGCAGTGATCACTAGCTCGAAAGAATTTACTGAGCTATGCACAGCGCCTTCGGCCAGATTGTGTGATAAAAAATAAGTGGATCATCAGTTAGGTCTTATGCGACATATTAATTTTTGCATATATATTCGAAAAAAGAAAACATACTAACCTTTGTTCTTTATTTTTTCTTGAACAAACATGAGAAAATGTGAAAGGAGGTCTATACGCAATATAGGATCTACTGTAAAAGTAAATAGTACTGATAAAAGCATATGTTATAAAGGCTGAGAACTTTGTAATTTTGAGATCGCTAGGCATAAAACTAACTATGTGTCTCTCTGGTAGATTTACATGTAAAAAGGTATGAGAATTCCATTTGCATGTGCCTTCATAGAACTCTTAGTATCATATGACAATGCTAATCACCTATATTTATCCCCTATCTTTTCCTTTCCAACAGCAAGATATAAAGCATGTAGGAGTATGTGGAAGTTCAGCCAACTTTCTGCAAAAATATTTTTTGTAAAATAACTCAAAATAACTCAAAATAAGGTATGTATATGCCATAAATTATGTATGTATAGGAGCGAGTTTTTTTAACCATGAGTCTTTGGAAATAGGAATCAGATAATGGCCAATACTTTAACTCTTAATTGTCTTGTTATCCCTAATGCCTCACCTGAAAGCATAACAAGGCATAGTATTACTATGCTTAAGATCTCTAGCAATGAGATGGTCGATCTGTTAAGGCCTATGATTAAGAAAAGGTGGCCATCATTATTTGAAAATATTCTTCCTACCAACTTTATTCTTCGCAAGATCAATTCCGGAGTAGTTATAAATATTTTAGATCAAATTAGACAATATAATAATGGGCAAGGCGAAAGAGGAGAAGAAATGTTCCCATATCAATTAATTTCTAGTCATTTTCCCCAGCAACCTCCTAACAATAAAATTCATATTATTGTACTGTACGTATTTAAATACTCCTCCTAGTAGTTAGAATTTTTTTATCTATATTTCATTTATCATGTAGCGATAGGCCTTAGTCACAAAGTATAGTCTCAATTTTTATGTATTGTAGGCCGGCTTGGACCCTTCTGGCAACATTTTTTATTTCATAAATAAAGTATTATTATTGTACTGTACATGAGAAATGGGTCACGTGCAATGGTGCGGTCCATAAATCTAACATTTTTATCCGAACCAATCTAGCCTATATAAAAAATGTCCGGTGATAAGTGAGAAGAGTCTTCACAGTTGGTGGGCGCAGTGATTAGGCATCATTGCACCTATGATGCAATGTGGCTGATCGCTTTTGTGAAACATAATAATTTCTCACATATAGTCTACCTCAGTATTTTTTTCACATTTTTACTCTTGTCCTCACATACCACACTTTGAGCCAATAATATTTCATAAAAAATACTATATAAGCCGAAAACATATCTATCACTTTGCCTCGTTAAAGGAAATACGACCGCTAGTGCTTTTGCCGTAGATATTGATAGGAAAAGTTGGTTAGCCACCTCAAGAACGCTATTAAGGCGAAAAAGGCACCAGAGTTCGATAATTTTCCTGCAGACAAGCCCAAGCTATGGAAGGTGTCGATCCCTGGTGATTACGACGATCAATTAAGAAATTTAATACTCCAGGACAGTGACGAGCTGTTGGCAATAAGAAAGATTTCAAAATACTTTGAAGAATCACCTCCAGAGGAACATATTCATGTCATTGTGAAGTTACCACGTAAGCGTCTGGTATAATTCGTCATTTGCCTTCATAATATTAACACGTATTCGTTTCCAGTTCTCAGCCTGGAAGAGGAATTGTCGTGTATTCCACCACCTATAACTTATTCTCCAGACTGTGTTACCTCGAAGACCACTACTAAGGCTAGTGGTGACCCACCGGCAAGTGTGAAACTTTGGGGAGACTTTTCGAGGCAGTGAACAGGTTCCGTTTCGACCAGCAACTGATATTTGAGAGGCCGAGATTTAATGACGAATTTAATGATGTGGTTGATGAAGAGGATGTTCGTAATGCTATAAAAGTTAATATTTGTCAGATATTATGGGACCAGACTGCGTATATTCAAGGAAATCTACTGACACTCCCGGCATACAGATTTCAACTGTCATCTCGTGGGTTCATTGATGTTGGTGATGGAGGCTAAAAGAAAACATGTTTTAGAAGATATGGAGAAACAGACATTTTCTGAATTTTATCAGACGAGTAAAGGCAAGGATGTAGTTCAACAAATCTATAATTATATGGGAGGAAACGAACTTAGATATGGTATTCTCTCCACCTATGATAATCACTGGTTTCTACGTCGAGAGCATGCAAAGCTCTGGATCTCAAAAACTCTCTCACTTCAGTCTGAATCTCCACCAGTTCTCAAGGCATATGCATATCTAACTCAACGGGCAAAAGAGAATCCCAAGTCTCCTAAACCTCAAGTAGTAGTGCCGGTTCAAGGGGACAATAATTCACGTACTCTTCGATTTCATTCAAAATCATCTTCCAGTTCCTCATTAAATAATCAGACTTCCAGCACCTCTACGAATCAATAATCGTCTTCTGCCTTTGGCGCTTCCAACAACCCCCCTGTAGACCAGGAAAAGTTTAGCTTCACAGACTTCAAGTTAAGGCATACTAGGTGAAGGACGAAGTGGAAAAACGCTCCTATGTGAATTTCGTGATGAAACGATTACTTTGAAGAGCGTAGACTTATCGAAGGTCCCACCGTATGTCCTGGAAGAAATGCAAAAAGAAGTCGAGATTTATAAAGACCTAGCCGATATTCAAGGCAAGTATATCCCAAAACTGGTCTGTTATGGATATTATGGAGGAGGTATGAGTTTCGTTATAGGCATGACCGTTGTCAGCACTTCGTTAAGCGATCATAAAATAACAAAATGGTAAAGGTCGAGGGCTATTAAGGGATTAGAAGCGATTCACAAGCATGGCATCCTCCATAATGACATTCGGGAGGAAAACATCTTAATTAATGACAACAGTGACATCTACCTGATTGACTTCGAGATGGCAAGTCGGGAGGACACAAAAAAGAAGAGAAAGCTTTTTGATGAGGAACAGCTCAAATTATCTCAATTGCTAGATAGATATATTATGTAAGAATCTTTCGGCCAAATTCCTATTTCTTGCAATCTTAATTTTCCTATCATTAATAAACATGTATTTTATAGACATCCCGTAAAGAAGGAGGGGCGAATTTCTAAGTCACGTAAATGTCAGGTGGTTAGTTAGCCTGTAGGATTAGTAGGATTAGATAGCATAGAAACTTTGTCATGTATCCCGGGCAAAGTCCCGATCAATGTATTTATTTTTCGCATGTATTAATAAAATTTTTCTTTGCAAAAGTGCGTGAATTTTTTTCACTCTGTCACATGATTTTTCTTGGAATAGTGCAATTTTATTACTTAAACATAATAGAGATAAAATAAATTTATCGCTAGAATGGATCACATTATATGTAATGCTTTTAGAGAATCCTGGCCAAATATAGATACTTCTGTGTGGGATATTTAGTCGGAATAATGCTTTTATGCCTGGAATGCTACGAACTTATTTTCACAAACCCGCAACAAAAAAATATTACTATTCTTACAGATAGACGCATGATTCATAGTTCTTGTCTTGAATGTCCAGCTACCAAAACCAAAGAAAAGGTTGCTTAAGCAACCGCTAAGAATAAAGCTTCACAGGATGGTAAACCCTCAAATTATAACATTTTGTGTAACTTCGCCATGTTATCTATACAGTCAATTAGATCTCTTAGTTCCACCAAGTCTTACTAGGAAGAACTTGAGAATTGCCTACTTATTACACAAAGTTAGTACATTGATTTTATAACTGTTAAAGACTAAAGTATATATAAAACTTAGGTCTTTTTTTTTTATCAAAGCTTTTGGGATTCAAGTGAGCAAGTTTAAAGATGAAAAAAAAATAATATAATTAATAAAAATGACATCACCTATATAACAAATCATGTGATTAAGAGTTATCATTTCTAATCGATTCAGCCAATCAGAATCCTTGTCAATTTCATCTGAGCACGTGATAGAAAGAAAGCGTTGTTTATATAGATTTCATAAATTTTTCATCTCTGCAAAAAAAAAATTCTTCTCCAAAGGACAGCACAACAACTTACGAAATGTCTGACTCACAAGGTATTTTCAAATTTTTTGGAACCTAGTATTCTCTCTTCGTAGGACATTACTACCCTTCGTGGGATGTTACCTTCCCTTCGTGAGACGTTACCTTCCCTTCGTGGGACGTTACCTTCCCTTCGTGGGATGTTACCTTCCCTTCGTGGGATGTTACCTTCCCTTCGTGGGATGTTACCTTCCCTTCGTAGGATGTTACCGCTTCTTCTTTGCAGGAAGGCTTGAAGTGTTACCACATTACCATCTCGTTTTGCGAGATGCGCATACCTCCCGTTTCGGGTTGCATCTACCCTTCCTACGTACTGGGGAAGTGAAGTATACCCTCCTTGTGTTGGAGTGAATCTCCCTCTTCGCCTTCCTGAGAGGAACATTGTAACTTTCCAATTGTGGAAGTGTTAACTTCCATTTTCTTTTAGTTTCACCACCGGAATATAGGAATTATAATTGTTGCGGAAAGCCGGAACGCTCCGTTATGTGTAGTGGCGATTTACAAGGAATAACCGAGAAAGAACTTGAAACATGGTTAAAAAGCGCGTCCACAATTTCATTCGTACACATTATCAAGAAAATCTATAATTCGTAAGCTTTCTAGATAAATATTTATTGAAATATGACCATTGCTGATACTCTTTTTTTATAGCTATGGTCATATCCATTTCAGCACTCCCCTCGAAGTCAGTTCATTTTTTAGTCGTTATAAGGATGTCACTATGGACGGACCCCAGAATATTGCAATTAAGATTAGCGCCTCATATTATTTCAGCATAAAACGGAAGGTCAATTATTTGAAGGTAGGCTTTTAGTGGATACCTTCTCAGATTCCAATATTTTTTTTTTATCTTTTCATTACAATTTTTAGGTACGAGAAGGCAAAAAACCTAAACCTGATTCTGCTTCAACTTCAGTAGAAAAAGCGCTTGAAACCGAGGAACAACAAGGAAAACAACCTGAAATTCGAAATCACGAAGAACTCAAGAAAGCCCCCGAAGAAAAATCCAAAGAGGAAATATATAATGATGATATTCCCTTCGCTATAAGTGATGAAAATCATAAAGAAGAACTCCAACCTGAAATTGAGGAACAACGAGCCCCTGAAGAAAAATCCGAAAAGGAAATTTATAATGATGATATTCCCTTCGCTATAAGTGATGATGTTGAAAAGTATGTGTAATTTTGATGTATGCATGTTGTTAGTTTAGCGTCAATCTATACTCATCTTTTCTGTTTACTATTAAAGCGGAACTATACATGTATTCATTCAGACCCCTGGCCTTTAATCAAAGAAGGGTCTTACGATTGATATTATAGATTGTGACAAAATTACTATCACAGCAAAGTTTCAAACTCTCATTATGCTGGGAACAATTATTGTTAATCATCTTCCGAAAGACTTCAGCCTTAGTTTGAGACTTCCAAAAAGGTATGTTATAAAAGACATTAAATAGCTTGTTGATTATGATCTTACAAGAGTCATATTTTGAATAGAATCGATGAGCAATCCAAGGTCAAAGTTGAAGTTCTTTTCAGAGTAACTCAAATTATTTTCAAAATTAAAACATATACAAGTCATCGTTTAATGATTGAATGAATTATTTAGTGATAGAAAGATATATTGATTTTTCAAATAATTGTATATTGCAATAATAACCATATGTAACAACAAATTACAAACTTTTAAAATATTATAATATTATATTTCTATTATGTATTTTCCTATGGGTGAGATGCATTGGATAATAAAATATTTCGTCAAAAATAATGCTTGAAACAAGTTTCTTGTGATATTGTCATGGTATCTGTCCCCAAAAAATCTTGCCTTAATTCTTCAGGTGATTCCTCTAAAATCGGTCCAGTCAATTCGCCCAAAGCTATGGTAATAGCTATTCTTCAACCCAATAGTCCATCCAATTCATAACCAGGTATATTTCCGCAATAAAATCTTAAAGCTTTACCCTGGAATATCTTTATAGACGTAGTAATGACAGATCTGAAGATGTATATAATCGCAAGACAAAATCTTCATTATGTCCATCATGTTAGACGGAATCATATAGAAAATATAGTAGGTCGATATAGGAGGGATCTGGTGCCTCTGGCACCTCTTATCATATAGGTTGTATGTTTAGATATACAGGGGATCGAGCCGGCTCGGTGGTGGCATAAAAATTAGACTACTGTGAAATCGATCATCTGAAATGCGCAGTACAGTATCGGTAAAATTTTTGCCAAGCCTTTTGACAGATTGTTTCTTTTTTCTGAACTCGCATCATATATATATTGCGCTGTATACGTCATTGAAATCTTAGCCGGTAGATCCCATATTTTTATTGGCTAGAAGTGAGAAGAATATTCACGATTATCATATGACATAGCATGTATCACAAGCTACCGATATATTTTCACATGTATTTTTACACATATTCCCCATGATGTAATAATAACCGATCACAAATAAAAAAGAGAAAATTATTTGTTTTACTAATCGCTTATTATGCCATATAAAATGATAAGCAAAGTGTATTACATATAATTAATCGATAGATCCTGCTTCTATTGAGAAGAATCTTCACAATTATCATATGATACAGTATGCTACCTTATTTTCTTACCTAGCAACCCTTACCATGGTACTGTAATTATAAATAGTTTAACATAGATTTTTTTTCACCTTAATGGCGTCCCAGGAATCGATTGCATTATTTCTAATGAGTTTGGATCATAGAGTGGCTTCCAATCTTTTCTCCGAACCTTCTCAGAGAGCTGAATCTTGTTTGGATTGCAAACAAGAAATTATAGACTCACATGTGATGTTCCAATGTGACCATACTTTTCACATTAGATGTTATCGTGCAAATTCAGTCCGCTCTGAATGGTGCTCAGAGTGCCAAAGCAATGTTATCGAATAGCTTGAACGACTCAGTTGGAAAAATATGAGTAGAAAAGAAAGATTGTTAGCTTTTATACATGAGGTGTCAACTGAAGTGATGGAAATTGATAGCAATTCATCAGAAGTAATCTCTTAGGATCAGCTCTCAACGATTCTAAGAAAATTATCTCGAAAAGTTGGTAAGGCCGATTCCTATACCATATATTGCTATTATGAATTTGGCTTAGCAGTAATCAATCGTCTCAATGAATTAATAGAACAAAGGCAGAAGAGGACATGAAATAAGTTAAATATGGAGATTCAGAGATATTTACCAGCTGATACTTCTCTAGCTATAGCAAAGGATAAAATTAAAAAGGCTAGAAAAATAGTTGATATTTTTGGTCCTATAGGTCCATTTAGAATTCATTACGTTCGTTCATTTTCTGTAGACCAACTCTCATATTTTAAAGAAGACGATATCAACTTCATAAAAGCAAAATTATCAAACCCTGAGACGTCATAAATATGTGAAACACTTTAAGTATTTTATTATATCTTTTTATGTCTTTATGTTGTACGTACAATGATATGTTATATTTTCTTAGATAAGTTTGTATATATGTCATTCTTCCCTTCAGTAGTAATTTTTAGTCTGTGTGATCTTTTTTTCTCATAATGGATAAGTAGGAACATAATAGATAAATTTGTATTGAATAAAGGGATAACAAATATTATTATATGTCAAACTCTTATATGTCTAAATATTCAAGCACTTAACTTTTTTTTTGGCATGGTTAGCCAATTTACAATAAAAGTACTTTTCATTTTTAAATAGTCCCACCTAATGTTTTTTAATTAATGAATTTATTTTTTATTATACAATTGAAATTAATGAAGATTACATTTGCTTTTGTTTTATTACAGCTATAAATGTTTTGCATTAGCAGACAGCAATAAATATTAGAGAAATGAAAAAACTCTAGTCTTCTTCTAGAGCACTAGTGAAATTATTGTTGATAGTAACATTAATAACGTTCGCATTTTAAGAGAAGGATGGGAGAGTAGGTGTGTCTGGCCTGCTGGAAGTGCCAAAGGTAGAGATAGAAGGTTCGACAATTGATGATGTTTCTTTAGAATTTTTGACGACTTTTGGAGATGATGGGAAGCGCTCAGGTTATTTTGAAGAAGAAGGTGAGCTCGTCCTACTTTTTCTTCTAACACTCTCATTATGTTGTTGATCGAAAGATAGTTTTGGTAAATTAGATTGTATTAATAAACAGACATAAAAAAATATCTTCTACAGAAACATACCAAGCTTTAATCAAAACAACATTGAAAACTCTTTATATATTTTCTTCCTAACCAAACTCTTTTTGATTCCAGTTCCTTCTCTATATCTTTTGGCTGTCTAAAAAATAGTAAGTATATTAACCTTAGATTTCACATAAAATCCAAGTATGTCTACTTACATTAAAAGCTTTCATAAGGCTTAAGAACTTCTTGTAACAGTCTTTACAGAGAAAAAAGTTAGTATTCTCTTGTTTGTTAAGCTTACCGGTGATATCGTTCCAAAAATCTTATTTCTTCTTATTTAGGGTGGCATGATATTTGAAATTTCTTTGTTTTACGTTCATTGATGAGAAGACGAAGCTGAGCGTCAGACCACTCAGTAGAAGAAGACATGTTTACATTGGTGAGAAAGCTCTATGAAAATTGGGCTGGTTTTATAAAAATATCAAGTGATATATTCTGATTATAGCGAAGGATAATTGATTTGATTTAATGAAATGATTAATCAAATAATAATAATGGTAGCTTAGCCATTTTTTCAAATCCACATGATACGCTGATCACCTGTGATTTGAGAAACTACTCAGCGTCATGAAAGTGCCAGGGAAGTGTCATGAAACTCTTCTAGAACTATTGAGATACTAGGCCATAGGCATTTTGCACAGGGATCTAGGGTGATACATGTGATATGATTACATCATGCTACAAACTGATTTAGCCAGATGCTATACATATGTATGTAAATATAAAATTAGCTTAGCCCAGAATATGACCCTATATAAATCCTGATATGCTTGTAATCGAATAAAAATGAATCTGATATTTTATTATAATATAGTTGT